ATCCTTTCATGGTTCCTTTTGCAGCTATATAAGCCAAAGGCTGTTCTATCAGTAACTAACAAAAAGAGAGTAGAGAACGTGCAAAAAGTAAGGGTAGTGGCCACGGTAGTGGCATGTGCATTTCTGGTTCCGCGGAGTAGGCTAGTAGTCCGCATCAGGTCTCCCCGCCTTCAGAAGAACTTGCCTCTGGCGAGGTTAAAACGGAGTTGGCGTCATCAGGTGGATGATACGAATGTATGTCTGACACATTAAAAGTAGATGAGGTCTGGATATCCTCCGGCAAGTCAATGACATATGCATTATCATTGATTTTTCTCAAAACAGGAAAAGGCCTGATTTTCCGAGGACTGAGCTTGGTGTAGGTGCCGACAGAGAAGCATTATCGCAGTAGTCGTAACATTACTAGGTCGCCGGGGTTGAAACTTTTGAAACGCCTATGAGGATCGGCTTGCTGCTTATACAGACGATTGGATTCAGTTAACTTGGTGTGCACCCGGTCCACAATATCCTTGAATTGTTCGGCAGCTTGTGCAGCAGCCGTGCTGCGACATTTCGGAAGTATAGCGATATCGACTACCTGATTAGGCATTTTTGTATACACAATGCTGAAAGGGAAATGGCCCGTTGATCGATTGGGCATTGAGTTGAAAGCAAACTCAGCTTGGCTTAGCATCTCCTCCCACTTCTTCGGGTGTTCTTGAACTAGGCAGCGTAGCATATTACCGAGAGTCTGGTTTACCACTTCAGTCTGTCCATCAGTTTGCGGATGGTATGCAGAGCTGAGATTGAGCTTCGTGTGGAGACGCTTCCACAAGTCACGCCAAAAGTGGCTGACGAATTTAACGTCACGGTCGGAGGTGAGGCTCCGGGGCACCCCATGTAAGCGGACAATTTCCTTCAAAAAGAGCTTGGCAACATGAACGGCGTCGAACGTCTTCTTACAGGGGATGAAGTGCGCCATCTTGGACAACCTATCCGCCACTACCATGATGGAATCTGCACAGGATTTGGTCCGGGGAAGGCCCAGGACAAAATCGAGACTAAGGTCTTCCCAAATTGAATCCGGTGTGGGAAGAGGTAGATATAATCCGGTGTTCTGTGCGGTGCCCTTATAGGTCTGACAAACCGAGCATCTCTCTACAAATCTGGGCACATCGCGGGCTAAGTGAGGCCAGTAGAATCTCGTCTGCAGATGGGCCAACATTCTATCCCTTCCAACATGGGCAGCTAAGTTGTCGCAGTGCACTTCCTTGATTAGGAAGGGGCGCCTGGATGACTGCGGTATGCAAAAGCAATTAGCCTTAAACAAAAATCCGTGGCGAAAACTATAATCACTGGGTGGCTGTCCGAAGTGGCATTGCTCCCAGAATTGTGCTAAATCTTCATCAGTAGCGTATAGAGTTTTCAACTCTTCAAGTCCCGTTATCTCAATTTGTAGCCTGGCCAACATAGCGGCCCTTCGACTAAGCGCGTCTGCCACCCGATTGAGCTTGCCCGCCTTGTGTTGTAGAACGAACGTGAACTTATGGAGGAATACTATCCAGCGGGCGTGCATCCTACTCATGTTCTTCTGATTGTTGATATACTGAAGGGCTTGGTTGTCGCTGCACAAGACAAAATCCTGATGGAGGAGATAGTGTTCTCACTGCTTCAAAGCTCTTACGACAGCGTAGAGCTCCTGTTCATATGTCGACCACTTCTGTCGCGCCGGACTGAGTTTCTCACTAAAAAACTCGATCGGTTTGGATTCTTGGGAGAGTACAACGCCAATCCCTACTAACGAGGCATCCGTGTCCACGTGGAACGGTTTCTCAAAGTTGGGCAGGGCAAAAACTGGAGCTGAACAAAGGGCTTCCTTGATGGTGTCGAAGCTATGTTGTTGTGTCGTGGTCCAAGTGAAGCTCCCGGCCTTCAAGCAATCGGTGAGAGGGGCCACTAGAATGCTGAATCCACGGATGAATCGTCGATAAAAGTTTGCTAGGCCATGGAAACTCTGGACATCAAACAGCATTTGGGGAGTAGGCCATTCGCGGATGGACTGGACCTTTCGTTGATCTACTTCCACACCCTTGGCGGATAGGATAAAGCCCAAAAAATGAACACTGGACGAGGCAAATTCACATTTGTGCGGGTTCAAATAGAGCTTGTGCCGTTGGAGTAGTTGCAGTATGTTTGATAGATGCTTGGCATGATCTGAAAGGTTAGTACTATAGACAAGAATATCATCAAAATAAGCCACGCAAATCTTCCCCAAGAAGGGCTGTAGCACCTCATGCATTAACCGCATGAAGGTTGAGGGCGCGTTGCAGAGCCCGAAGGGCATTACCTTCCATTCGTAGAGGCCATCGCGCGTTTTGAAGGCGGTCTTCCAATCGTCTCCGGGGCGAATGCGGATCTGGTGGTAGCCACTGCGAAGGTTTAATTTGGAGAAGACAGCAGCTCCTGCCAGCCGATCTAGTAAGTCCGAGACTCTAGGGACCGGAAACCTGTATTTCACAGTGATTTTGTTAATGGCGCAGCTGTCAATGCACATACGCCATTGACCGTCCTTTTTCGGCACAATCAGCACGGGTCTGGCACAGGGACTTAAGCTGTGTTGGATCATTTGTTTGCTAAGCAGATCTTCAATGATGCCTTGTAAAATGGAATACTCCTTGGGGCTCACACAGTAGTGCGGACAAGTTCAATCTGGTGCTATATAGATCGCATAGGCGGAAGGCTGGGTGGTAGATCAGGGGGCAAGACATCCGCGAACTTTGATAGCAATTCCTGGATCACTGCGGGAAGTGGAGTGGAGACCGAGTTGCTATGGTTGTCGGATACAACCAAAGCAATAACAGTTTTGAGGTCTTGACGGGATTGTAACAATAATTTACCCGAGGTAACATACACCGCGTTGGGAGCCGATGTGGCGCCAGCAGGAGTTGGATTATGCGGACAGAGTCTAAGCTTCTTCCCTTTCCAATCGAGAGTGTATACGTTCTGCCTGCAATTGTAGATGGCGTCCATATCATACTGCCACGGTCTGCCGAGGATAAGGTGGCAGATGTCCATGTCGATCACGTCGCAAAGTACCTCGCAGGCGTAATGCTTTCCGATAGAAAATCTCACACGGCACATTTCGGTCATTGTAACCTCCGTGCCCTTCTTGATCCAGCTCACCTTGTATGGGTGCGGGTTACTAGTGGTCTTCAATTGGAGAGCTTGAACTACGGTTCGTGAGATAACGTTCTCAGTACACCCGCTGTCGATCAAGACTTCGCATACCTTTCCCTGAATTGTGCAATGCGTTTTAAATAGGACATTCCGCTGTGAATAGGTAGGAGCCCGCGGAGCTAATAGTAACTTTTGTATAACACAAACTACCGGTTCACCTTCATCACCGTGAACATCCTCGATGCCATTGTCGAAGTCGGGATCAGCAAAGGCAAGATCGCCTTCCGCCAATGATTGTTCCCCGTCCATAAGCTGTATCCGTTGCCTGTTCGGACACTCGTTGGACTTGTGCCCAGGTTGAAAGCACCTGAAACACTTCAATGTGCTAGGCTTACTTTAAGGATTCTCCCTTGCTGGTAAGGGGGCCTTGAACTGAGTTCGAGACTCAGTAGCAGTCCCCTGCCCTTGAGGGGTGGAGACGTTGGGCGAGGTGCGTGAAACTTGGGGCGATCGAGCATCAGGTGGCTACCTCTTGGAGACCTCAGCATGGGACTCACCGTAACTCCTCCTTGCCAACTGGCTACGGTAATGACGCGACAATTGCGTCTCGGCCTTCAAGGCGAAGTTCATGGCCTGGCTCAAGGTCCACACAGAGTTGAGTTCTAACTTCTCCTGTATTGATTCTCGGAGACCGCCGGTATACCGAGCAACAAGCTGACTTTCGGATTCTTGGAGGTTGTTTCGGGCACTTAAATGGTAAAACTCCTCAGTATATTCGCTCACGGACCGATGACCTTGGGTACATTGCTGGTACTGAAGGTATAGCATCTGCTTATAGTCCGTGGGCAGGAAGTGGTTCCGGAGGAGTTGCTTCATTCGTAGCCAGGTGCGAATCGGTCCGCGTCCCTCCGACAGGCATGTCTGGAGCAATTGCTGCCACCAAGCACTAGCCCCGCCTTTCAGACGACAGGCTACGTACTTAACTTTTTTATCTTGAGCAATGTCCATGTAATCAAAGGACTCAACTGCTCGCTCCCAATCCAGGTAATCTTCAATGTGCAATCTCCCTTCAAAGAACGGGATATCCAACTTTACACAAAATTCTCCAGGATTACCTTGGTGTGGTCCGCATTGACGGGGGCGGTCATATTGTCATAATACCTGAGCGGACCATCGTCTCCTGATCCGATCGTGTCCTGGCGCAGGCGCGGTTCTACCACTTCATCGGAATCAGTAAGCTCAGCGTATGCCGTCCTGGCTAAACGATGAGGCCCCATTGGACCCATCGGAGCTCTCGCCTGCTACATCGTCGGTCGAGGTACCTGGATGTTTGCTGGTAGTGGTTGAGGCATTCGAATGGAGGCTTTAAGATCCATCATATCATTACGCAGCTCAGTAGATAGGCGAACGAAGTCCGCCCTTAGTTCGGTGAGTTGCCGTGCGAAGCCGGCTTGCGCTACCCACACGGCATCCAAGCTCCGATCGTCGTCATAAGCTTTACGGGATGTTTTTGCAGCCATCACTCCGATGTTAGCTCTGATACCAAATGACGGACTCACCCGTGCAATGCGAGGATGCGACGCCTGAAGCAGCTGCCAAAGGTTTCACCTGCAAGAAACTAAGAGCAAAAGCAGATGGAACAGTAATTTGGGAAAAGGAAGTAATCTTAGTATTTCTGTATATCCTTTCATGGTTCCTTTTGCAGCTATATAAGCCAAAGGCTGTCCTATCAGTAACTAACAAAAAGAGAGTAGAGAACGTGCAAAAAGTAAGGGTAGTGGCCACGGTAGTGGCATGTGCATTTCTGGTTCCGCGGAGTAGGCTAGTAGTCCGCATCAACTTCCAAAAATAAAAATCAAGGGAGAAGTTACCGGTAAGGAGATTTTATTAAAAAAAGTTCCTTCTCTCATGTGATCACAACATTAACCGTGCACAACTCCAGAGAAATCCAAATTGAAATTGGTATCGCTAAAAAATCATGAGATTGAATTATTTCAAATTTATGTTTGAGAAAAAATTCCACATACCTCCTCATCTCTACCGTTTAAAATCTGAGCGACATATTCATCAAATCGACGTGCCTTATCGTTCAACTTTGCGATAATAGTCTCAGCAACCCTATTTATTGTCTTGGGTAAATATTCCTCCATCCTATCAAACCATTCACCCGTAGTCATGGTATCCATATCACCCTCCACTGCTTTATCCCGTGCTTCTTGTTCTCCAACCAGGGATGGCTCCTCTTCCTCAGCACCAACACTGGTCTGTCTGAGGGGCTTCTCCTTCTCTGCCCCTTCAGTAGAATCTGAATCGGAAGTTACAATAACCATATCCTCCTCCACCAGCTTCATTTCAGAAATCCTGGTAGACCTGGCCCTAGCTGATGCCTTCGTCACTCTCCCCTTGATCTTTTTCATCACCACGGGCTGGAATTCCTCTCTATCCCTCTTCCTTCCACTGGCCCTCGCTCTCCCTCCAATTTTCTGCGGCTCATTCACCTGCTCCTCCCATGAAAATATCTCTTTGATCCGCCTTCGTACACACCCGTGCCTTGAAAACGGAGGTGCCTCGGCTTGTGAAGCGGAAACATGAACTGCAATGCTCGTTTTCTCACCGATCCGGATGATGTCTCCGTCCAGGAGAGGCGAAGGGTTATCAGGAGAAATGAGAGCGCCGTTGACGTAGGTTCCATTGGATGATTCGAGGTCGATGACGGCCCAGCGGTTGATTTCCGGGAGGAATCGGATGACAAGATGCTTCTGGGAGATCGAGGGATCCCTAATGGAAAGGGCGTTGCCTCGAACGACTCGGCCAATGTGAAGCTGGTCTCCGGGCTTGCATTCTAGGGTTACCCCCTTCTTAGGTCCGCTTTCAATGGAGAGTGATAATGTCGGGTTCTCCATGGAGGGAGGGACGTCGCGGAGCCCTAAGCCGTCCATGGAAGCATTGAAGGAACGGAGCGCCAGACAGGAGAGGAGTGTTACAGCAAGAACTGAGAATTCCTTTGATGTGAAGAGCCAATTTAAATTTTAAAACAAAACTTATTATAAGCCAATTCTCTCTCTCTCTCCCTCTCTAAAAAGGGAATTTACATGCATACCACCACCTTATATCCTATTTATATATCTAATCCTCAAAATTTAAATATTACATGTTTATCACCCATATACAACTTTAATTTTAAATATGTTGCTAATATATTTCATTCATAACTCTTATATCACCATATCACCATATCACCCTACAAACTTTAATATTTCGTTTCTAGCATTCATATCTGATCTATGGGTGGTATGCAAATAATATTTAAGTTTTAGATGTGAGATATATAAATATGGTGATATAAACAGGTCTGTCAAAATCGGGTCACGGGTTGGATTCGAGTCGAACTTGAAACTGACCCGACACTATAAACCTTGACAATTTTTGCAAAAGGATCATTTTTTCGAACTCAAACATGAATCCGACCCACTTTGGGTTCGAGTTAACCCAACTTGCTCCTGTCATCGTTGTAACTTATGAGTTGCAATCTCGGTCCAAACTCTTGAAGGCTTGACTAGACGGCGAGGCAGCAGTCCTGCAAGGGCACTTAGGGCAGTAGTGGCGTAAGGGCAGTCGACCAACAGTCAGCAACAGAGGCTTGAGCCGCTTGACGTGAAGGCGACCCTGAACTGACAGCGGCAATGTCATACGGCGGATGCGCTTGAGCGGACACGACTAAGGTGGACACGAGCCACACGACTGAGCGGGACTGCGGGAGCTGCAGGACGGCGCGATGAATGGCGGGACTGAGCTGAAAATGGGTTGTCCGGGTCAAACTGAGTTTATTTCGGGTTTCCGTGTCAACCCGAACTCGATCCAGTTTTACAGACTGTTCAAATTCCATAACCCAAACCCAACACAATTCGGGTTCGAGTTCGAGTCATATTTTTGGGTCATGACAAATATTGACACCCCTAATATAACTTGGTATGTATGTAAATCCACTTTTGAAAAAATAGCACATATGGCTTCTATTTAACAAACTTTGCAAATTAAGCCAAACTTTTAAAGGTTTAGGTCTTAAGTGCATCTTAACTTGGTCAAATTTATTTAGATAAAGATTAAATTTAAAATTCAGTATGAATTAAATATATTGATTTGTTATAAACTAATTAATTAGACTCAATGAGTAATTGATCACTATATTAATAAATTTATTTAATCAATGTTTTACAAATATTTTATAATGGATTAATTAATAGTCTATTTTGGGGGTGGGTCCTATTGAAATGGTGTAATCATGGCCAAATCTTGTAGTTTGGTTTTGGATCATTAAGGATATTTTGATGAGGGGACACTTATTCTCTTCATAAGGTCCCAAACAATTTGATGAAGGGATTGGATTTAATTATAAAGCCAAAATTAAATGCCTTATTTGAATGCCTATTGTACTATGAACATCATCAAGGTAGATATATGCTCGTATAAATCGAACCTTAGTCATCTTTGGTTACAATATTAGTTATGAATAAATTTATAATAATTCGGTCGAGTCGAATATATGTCTAATTTTTTTATTTTAGAGTGTAATTGAATCGCACATCCGTCTAATCATTCTTATTGAGCTTGGCTCATTAAGAAATTTATAAACTCGAGCTTGTTTTGATTTTAAATACATTTTAAAGTTAATTGAGTGGTTTATGAGGCGAGTTAGGTTAGAACTAAATTCTTGCTTAACTATCTCACAACACTAACGAAGAAATTGACCATAATTTTTCTTTGGACTTCCCCCAAAAAATATTGGAAGCATGGCTTAGAAGATATCTATCAAATTACTTAAGAATAAGACTTGAAGTCATGAATGGTTGAACTGAACTAATCAAGAAAAAGTTTTTAGGTGAAATTGAAGCCAAAATGGAGACCCTCACATAGGGTTACAAATGAGCCGAGTCGAGCTCGAGTCATGTCTAACTCGAGCTTAACTCTCAAGCGAAATCCCGAGCTCGAACTCGAGCTTGAGCTTTAGTCAAGCTCAAAAGGTGAGCTCGAGCTCGGCTCCCGACCGTGGATGCGGATTTGCGAGGCGTAAGAAGAACAACCAATGCTTCCACATTTGAGCCCACTTTCGATTTCACGTCCATGGCCTGCTTTCGCCTTCCTAGCCAGCCCTCATGGTTCTGCCTTTTGTGTTGTATTCCGTCCTTGTGGTTCTGCCTTCTGCATTAGAGCCCATTGTGGTTCTGCCTTCCGCCTTCCTCTTTCCTCCTTTGGCTTTCATGGTTCCGCTTCCACACTCGAGCCGTTAAACGAGTAATCGTGCCAAGCATCATTTGGATCGAACTCGATTATCTAGCGAGCTCAAAATTCTGCTCGAGCTTAAAATTCTGCTCAAGCTCGAAACTCGATGAGCTCAGCTGGTGAGCTCATTAATGAGTCGAGCTCGAGTTTGCTTGGCTCACACTTACACTCCTACCACCACATGAAAGGTGCATGTCTAATTTATGCATCAATAAACTTCTTTATTCGAGATGAAGGAGATTGAGGATAATTAGGTGATCGTTGATTGGAGATGATAGTTAGTCAATATCTCAATGGTTACTAAGATAGCATTTAATCTATAGTAATCATGAAATCACCAACTCGGTCTTTCAAGGTTTAACATTAAAAAAAATTCAAAATAATGCTTCGACTCAAACAAATCTAAGGGTGTGAGCGAGGCGATCCGGCTCGGCATCATGCTCGAGCTCATCTCATTAACGAGTGCATGAATCAAACTTATCAAATCAAAATTGTATATTAAACGAGCTCGAGTTTAGGCTCAAACTTGCTAAATCGCTCAATTAATTTAAAATTAAAAGCAACCCGAGCTTATAAAATTTTTAATGAGCTGAGCTCAACAGATATTAGACTCAATTACGCTCCAAAACAAAATTAATTCTGATGATTAATACATTTAATAAAACAAGTTCTAAAGTCAAAGCATTATGATTTACGAAATATAAGTTTTTGCGTTTGCCGGGAGTCGAACCCGGGTCTATTGCTTGGAAGGCAATTATCCTAACCGTTGGACTACAAACGCTCAACATATTAAATTCTGTACTTATTATTTAAAATAAAATTCATTTATTTATTATTATTATTATTTTTTGCTAAAATGCGAAAAAATATATAGCTATTTTGCTTTGATTTGTAGCATTACTAGCAAAATTACAAGCGTTAAGTCTTCAAGACATCAATGGACAAAATTAATTGGTTATTTCCTCAAGCTAATTTAGCATACTATGATAGTTCAACCAACACAATTTTTAAGGGATTTTTAGTTAAGTTGTAAGTCGGGCTTGTGAGCTTAAGCTAGCTATTAAGCTCCACCAAACAGTCATATATTACATTTTTTAAGCCATGTGTTTTCAATTTTGGTTTATCTTAATTTAGTAGATGAAAAGATAAATTGGATGGATGATGAGCTTAAATTTAAGCACTTGGTTTGTTTTTTGAGATAAGTAAATAAAATTAAAGGTACTTTAGAACATCTAATTATCATCAAGTACATGTAATTTGTGAGTGTTGTGCATGGAAATTGATATCCTGACTTGGGAAACTATGGGTGAGTAATTTGAGTAATCTCGAACATTGTTGTTTTATTTAAAAAACACTTTGTCTTTTGGTAGTTTCAAATGATTCGGAACTTGACAATGTTATTATGGAGAATATAGTGGCCCTAAATGTTGAACCAAATCCAATTGAGGAAGGTGATGTTTCAGTAAACAGGAGTGCTTGACACCAGAGCGGAGGGGGCTCGACGAATCCACGTCGAGGATCCGGTGGCGGTCGCCGGACACCACTCCAAGAACTCCTTGGAGCAAGAACCACCACCTAAGAACAATCTTAGGATACAGAAAAACACAAGAGAATAAACTCTAATTTTATTAATCTCCAAATCTCCCTTATTACAAGCATTGGCTACCTATTTATAGCCAAAAAGGAAGCATCATAATAGGCTACATACAAAATAAGAAAACATTACACCTCTATAGCCCTATAACTACCAAATGGACTTAATATAGCATGAAATTTAATACAATTAACGACTCAGTTCCGACGTCATACTACCGGGGTAGGAGGAACTTCATGCTCATAAGAAGATGCCCGGTTGTCCACATTAAGGAGGCGGATTTGGTTGGCTAAACGGATCAGGATAGTTCCACCCGATGTCTATTTGCCTACCAATCTTCAATCTCTCAAAAGAAGCATAAGCAGATGAAATACTTGTGATTGTGAAAGCATCTAGGACCAAAGGTTTTTCTTTCATCCATCTAGAGGAGAAGATAAGAGCTTCACAATCCAACCCATTGAGGAGATCTTCACATGCAATTTTTTTTATCAACGATGGAGAGCGTAATTGTTGTCTTTTTTGTAACATTGTGAGTGAATAGTTCCGGCTGGACATTTGACTTCGGTTGGCCATCAATTTTACCCTCGTCATCCTCATATGCGGGCTGATCAATATCAAGAACTTCAAATAACATGTCTTCATCGAACACGTCATATACATGCTCATCGTAGAGAGGTAAAGTCGACGATTTCAAAAATGGATCTTCAAATTCTTTGAAGCTGAACTCGATTGACGGTGGAGTGGAAGAGATTTGATTATATGCAATGCCCTCGTTATCGTCGTCGGTTTGTAAGGATCTTTGTTCAATCCTTGACAATCTTAGTTTGAGTAGGGCAATTTCTTGTAGGAGATCTTATATTTCTTCTTCTTGCAGTGGTCTTTGATGATTTCGTCGAGGTGACATCTTCTGGCGTGAAACTTGCTTGAAATCTTCCTATTGTCGTCGGAAATGCAGAAATAGATGAAAGAAATTAAAAGATCAAGAAGAAGCTTCGGTAGTGATGTTGGTAGAATCCCGGATCCCACGACACCTCCGTTCCTTCCTCTCCTCACAATATTTTGGAGAAATTCAAGAATGTCTGTATATTGATCCCATGGACAGCACAAGCTTTAAAGAGAATGATAAAATTGAGAAAAG